ATGACGGACTACTTCTCCAACTCCTGGCAAACACCTGTTGTTTTGATTATATGCATCTTAATGGTACTAGTGGAATAGGATCTCATTGTTTTCATTTTTTTATGATTAGTAATCTTGAGCATGTTTTCATGTACTAATTGATCCTTACATAGTTTTGGAGAAATGTCTAATGTTCAACGAGTTTATGTATTTGTTTATTTTATGTCCGTGTACCACATGTGTGCCTGTCATTAACAGAGCCCAGAGCTACATAATAGAGTGACTGACTGTCTCAAATAGAGAAATCCTGTCTCTGAAACCTAAAAAAACAAACAAAAGCCACCACCACAACAGAAAACACTGCTGAATCTAGAGTCACATGTTTACCCCTGTATAACTTCTGGTAACTCTAAAAGTTTTTATAGTTTTGACTCTTGTTTTTGATGTACTTAATTTTGGTGTATAGTAGCAGAGAGGAGCACCATGTTACTGATTGCCTTCTGGCTATCCAATTTTCATCATTTTTGGTGACTTTCCTTTTCCCACTAACTGGCTTAGGCATCCGTCTTGAAAGTCATTTGGCCACAATTAATGTGAGTTATAATCATTCCTCTCTGTTGAACTCTTAGGTTGCAATATGTTTTTAAATATTTTATTTAATATTTAAATATATTAAATATTAAATATTTAATATTTAAATATATTAAGCATAGTATAAAATATGTAAAGGTAACCAGGAGTGGTGGCACACGCCCAAAATCCTAGAACTTGGGAAATGAATGGAGGAATTTAAGGTCAGCCTGGACTACATGAGACCCTGTGTTACAGAACAAAACAAAACAAATCATCCTCAACAACACAGACCAACCTAAGAAAGACTAAGCCTTTTCTGTTTAAAATTTAAATAGAAGGTGTGCTCAGATGTACGATGATTACTGGCTCAAAGATGAATTTAAGTCTGTTCTGGTACTCATTCATTTAATAAAGCATTACAATCTCATTGTCATGATATGAAAAGCCAGAATACTGTGCTTTGTTTTTTAAAATGAGAGCTTCTCACCTCACATCCCTGGTTGACCTGCAACCGGTTATGTAGACAAGGCTGGCCTTAAGCTTTCAGTGATCATCCTGTCAATGTCTTTTTTTTTTTAATTAAATTAGAAACAATCTTGTTTTACATATCAGTCCTATTCTTAAGAGCTAGGATTACAGTCATGTGCTATCATGGCCAGTTAACAACAGCTTTGTTTGTTTGGTTTTCAAGACAGGGTTTCTGTGGTACAGCTCTGGCTATCATGGAACTCTGTAGAACAGGCTAGCCTCAAACTCACAGAAATCTACCTGCCTGTGCCTCCCCAGTGCTGGGATCCAAGGTGTATGCTACCACCACTCGGCTAACATCGTGGTTCTTTATTATCAATTGCAATAGCTTAAGGGCTGGATTTCTTTTGTAAAGAAATACTTTATTATCAGATAGATGAATTCTTGACTATTTTCCTCCTACACTGCTTTGGAAAGGTTAAACAGGACACATGATACTTTTCTGAATTAAAAAACAAATATCATCACATGTAATAGGAAAACATGAAATATATCATATTTTTTGAGACATCCAAGGTCAAGATTTAGACTTTAAATTAGTACTTAGAAAGTTCCTGAAGTAAACAAATAATGTTTTATTTTGAGAACCCCTTCTGGTCTTGATGATTAGTGAATTAGCATCCATCTTGGTCCCCCAGATGGTCAAATAAAGAGTCTCTTCAGTGGCTAGTACTGAATAAAACAAGTTCAGATATGAAGGGTAGAGAACACAGGATTTTTCAGTTCTCCTTAGAGGTGTATCTATGATACTGTTAACTTGTGTCTGTATAGACTAGTTCATAAGTACTGTTTCTGGAGAAATGGTATCTAAAGTATTGCATATTTTCAGGCTTTTCATACTTACAGACTCCTTTTCAAAACAATTATATTCAACTTAAGGTACCAGTACAGTTTTGTTAGAAATAATTTTTTGTTCTTTTATGTATATTCTTTAATATTGGATGCTCAGATTGTATTTCTGCTTATATATTATCTGTTCCTGACTTTTGGCATGGCATTTGTTTTGGTTAGTATTGTCCTTTATGAGATTTATTTTGGCAATCTTTTGTAGATGGTGGTTCTGTGATAACATGTTTGTAGAAAAAAGTTCAGATGCTGTGTAATATTTATGCTAAGAGGTATTTGGGCTAAATAGAAAGAAACCTACAGGATTTTGGTGCAACTGAAATGTCTGTAAGGTGAGTTACAAAAGGTTTTTGCAATTATGAAAAATTATGTGGGAAGACCTAGGTTTTAGGGGAAAAAAATGAGCTCATTTTGGTAGGTTAGCAAGGAACACCAAGGCAATTTTATTTCCAGTAGAACATAAAAAAGATAAGAAATCATGTGTTTTGCTGAGAGGACAGTTTTGAAAGGATGGCAGTAAACACAGTTCTGGAGATGTTGAAGATAGGCCCAGGCGGCTCATGAACTAGAATTGTTTGCTGGTGTGCTTGCCATGAAGATCAGGAAGTTAAGAGAAAAAAGAGTGGAAATAGGAGACTAAGACCATTGACTTTAGTAAATCAGAAAAGTACAGTTTATAGGAAGCAAGAGCTCATCTTTTAGACAACTTGGTTAAGATATAATTTATGTATCAACTCTAAGTGTATGATTTATTATATTCGGACTGTGAAACCATCAACACCCTAATCAATTTTGGAATGTTGATTGTACATACATTGTATTGTATTGATATGGGCGTTATACATTTTTAAGGCTCTTAATACTGATGTCATGAATATGTTATACACAGAACACTTGTATTTTTCTACAGTGTTAGAATTTATTGGGTGTGCACAGGAATATTACTTGGTTGTTAGGGTGTTTGCCTATGAACTCTGGGTTAGATTTCCAGGACTGTATAACACTGTTAACCCCAGAATTCTAGAGGTAGAGTCAGGAGGATCAGAAATCAAGGCCATCGTTGATAACTGTTCAAGGTCTGCAGGGGGTACGTGATGCTTTGTCTCAAAAACAAACAAACAAACAAAAAACCCAAAGAAAAATGTGATCGAATAACAAGTTCATAAGATCACATTTTTCTTGAGCTAATCCTTAGTATAAGTGTGCCGCAAGTTTCAAATAATGATTAGTAATAACAGTGACAAGTATGATAAACCTATCACAGAGGTATTTAATGTTAATCTAGTGTCATGTCCCTACCCCATGTCTGATAGGCAGAAATCAAATACAGTGATGTTTTTCTTTCTTTTTTCAATTACATGTAGTTTATGTATCCCAGTAAATTCAAGATTAAAAAAAAATGAAACAGAAATAATCCCTTTAGGAGTCTTTGGCCATGTTTTTCCTATATTCTTAGGTAGATTTATAAAGATGTCACTTAGAAATCAAAGTAAATTCAGAATATGATATTTTCTTTGTTACAGCAATTTTTAAGTGGAATCTTATAGTTTCTCTTATATTGGATCTTGGACTTAGTTCATTAAATCCTGCTTCTGTGATATATATACAAATACATATATACATATTAGTTTATACATATATACACATATACATAATATATTTATAATATAAACACATTAGGGTTCTCTAAAGGAGCAGAACTGATAGAATATGTAGATATATTCATAATATGTATATGTATTTAGGATTTTATTTCTGTAATGAGACACCAAGACCATGGCAACTCTTTTTTTCTTTTGTTTGTTTGTTTTTCAAGACAGGGTTTCTCTGTGTAACAACTCTAGGTGTACTGGAACTTGCTCTGTAAACCAGCCTGGCCTCAAACTCACAGAGAACTGCCTGTCTTTGCCTCCTGAGTGTTGGGATTAAAGGCATGTGCCACCAAACCTGTGACCATGGCACCCCTTACATTGGGAAACATTTAATTGGGTATGGTTTCCAGATTCAGAGGTTTAATCCATTATCATCATGGTGAGAAACATGGCAGGATGCAGGCAGACATGGTGCTGAGAGTTCTACATCTTGATCCACAGGCAGCAGAAGGAGACTGTATGCCATACTGGGCATAGTTTGAACATGTAAGACCTCAAAACTCATTCCTACAATGACACACTTTCTTCAACAAGGCCACACCTCCTAATAGTACCACTCCCTATGGGTCTAACATTCAAACATGTGAGACTATTGGGGCCATTATTCCTATTGAAACCAGCATACTGCATATATCTAAAAAGTGGATTTATTAGAGTGGCTTGCAGGTTGTGGTCCCACTAGTATAACAATGGCTGTCTCTCTCTTTTTTTTGTGGGACTTTTTTTTATTATATCACTTTTTTTTTTTTTTTTTTTTTTTTTTTTTTGGTTTTTACGAGACAGGGTTTCTCTGTATTGTTTTGGAGGCTATTGGTCCAGCCCGGCCTCGAACTCACAGAGATCCGCCCGCCTCTGCCTCCCGAGTGCTGGGATTAAAGGTGTGTGCCACCGCCCGGCTCACATTATTTTTTTATTATTTTAATTTTAAATAGCTTGTTTTACATGTCAATCCCAGTTCCCTCTCCGTCCCCTCCTCCCGCACCCCCCACCATCCACCCTATTGCCAATTCCTTACAATGGCTGTCTCTTAAGGCCAAACATTTGGTAATTCTCTAGTCTAGGAGGTGGATGTCTCAGCTGCTCGTCAGTCTAAGATGGAACCCTGATGTAGGTTCTAATAATGGTGGAGGAATGCCTCTGCAAGAGTGAGAGCAAGCAGGCAGAAAGGAGAAGCTTCCTTCTTCCATGTCCTTTTCTGTGGGCAGCTACCGGAAGGTATGGCTCCGATTTAGGGTGGGTTTTCCCACCTCTAATGATCCAATTGAGAAAATCCTTCACAGGCATGCCCAGCTGCTTAGGTTTTAATTGATGAAGGGTATAGTGAAGTTGAGAACCCAGATTAGCCCTGTGTGTGTGTGTGTGTGTGTGTGTGTGTGTGTGAGAGAGAGAGAGAGAGAGAGAGACAGAGAGAGAGAGAGAGACAGAGACAGACAGAGACAGAGAGACAGACAGAAAGAGAGACAGACACACAGAGAGAGACATGCATTCAAATGTTTTAAATTCAAAACAGTGAACAGTGACTAATTTTAACCCACCACTGTCCATTGACCATCTAAATATCCTTTGAACAAAATTACTGTATTGTTTTTTGTTTATCTATTTAGATGCATACTTTGTAATTATAATACAGATATTGCAGCATATGTTCCTGTGCATTTTTTTAAAAAAGAGTATCTCATAGGTAAACCTGTTCTGGAACTCATTGGATAGCCAGAGATGGTCTCAAACTTCTGAGTTGAGTATTTGTATGCTTTAAAATAAATTTTTAACTATATGCTTGTTTGACTTCCTTGTCTGTATATCAAGAACTTCATCATTCCTTTTAGTGGCTGCTTTTAATGTAATTAAACTAACTGATTTTTTTGAGCCAGGTTCTAACTGTGAGGCTGGTTGACGTTTAGTTAGTGATCCTTATGTCTTAGCTTTATCAGTGCTACAACTATAGACATGCCATGATATCTGACCCCTTCCTTCTTCAATTTAATATAAATTGAATGTTTTTACTTAACACTCATTTAAGAAGTTTTGATCACCCTACTGTCATGTTTTCTTTAAATGTCTTTGTTGCTTTTAAAGTATGTTTGTTCCTAATTTATAACATTCTGACCTCTTTGTTATTAAACCTGGATTGTGTAACGTTTTTGAGTGTTTAATGCATAGTGAGAAAAATCAAAAGCTTTGTGGCATTAGCTGCTTTAAAAATTGTTTTATTCAATTTTATCTCTCATTATGTACCTGTGGAGAACTTCATGCTTTTCATGCTGACGGCTATTTGGAGTGCTTGTTTAATTTTTGGGTTAGACATAACTTGGTTAGCATTTATGTTTCATGATTGGTTAATGGTTTATACATAACTTTGTTACCATTTATGCTTCATAATTGCTCTGAGCAACATTGAACTGGTGATCTTGAGAATCCTAAGAATTTCTGTGTTAGTGGGAACAGTGGTGTTACACTTTGTAATCCCAGTACTCACTCAGGAGGCTGTGGCAGCACAGTCATGAGGTGGGGTTCAGGCTAGCTTGAGCTGCATAGTGAGATCCTGTGCCAACAAACAAACAAATGTTCAAGCTGGTGAGATGGTAGTGGTGCTTGCTCTGTAAGTTTGATTCCCAGAACCCATGTAAAGGTGGAAGGAGAAAACTGACTCCTCAGTGTTGTCCTCTGTCTTCTGCCTCCCCATCATGCACACACATACAATAGTACCAAATAAAAACTAAGAAATTCTTCACATGTAAGTATGAATTTGTGCTTTCTTTAAGCAGAAAGCTAGGCTTTACATCAGTTTCATGTTCCAGTGGTGCTTGTGATTTCAAATTGTCCCAGAGATCAGCTGGTGTGCAGGGAAAATAAAGTGATAGTTACACTATGTTGAGATTTACTTCAGTATGGGCAGTACAAAGACAAAATTTGGACTAGGATGAGTTTTTTTCTTGTGGGGTTTTTCTTTTTTCCCTTCCCTTCCCTTCCCTTCCCTTCCCTTCCCTTCCCTTCCCTTCCCTTCCCTTCCCTTCCCTTCCCTTCCCTTCCCTTCCCTTCCCTTCCCTTCCCTTCCCTTCCCTTCCCTTCCCTTCCCTTCCCTTCCCTTCCCTCCCTCCCTCCCTTCCTTCTTTCCTTTCTTTTATTCTTTCTTCCTTTCTTTTCTTAAAGGATCTAACTATGTAGCCCTGGGTAGGCTAGAACTGGCTTTATAGACCAGGTTAGCCTCAAACTCAGGGATCTTCTTGCCTCTGACTCTCAAGAGATCTAGTAAAGGTGTGTGTTGCCACACTCAGCCAGGATGAGATCTTTTTATAGTAAGTTCTTTTGTTTATAAGTCTTTAGACAAGTACTGTCTCTGGACAAGACAGGGATTTAAATTGTAACATGTTCTGTTACTATTATCCAGTTCAATCATTTTAAAAATACCTATTTTGAAAAAGAAGATGTGCATGTCTTTTTGTAAGTAACGTGCACGTGGGTAGAAAGAAATAGAAGTAATCTTTTCCTGTTTTTCTCTAGGGTAGTTCCTCTTGTGCAGGTGCTTTTGCATGGAAGGATGCTCTTTTCCTGGTAGAAGATGATAACCCTGGAGAATGACCATGGAGAAGGGGATGAGCTCTGGAGAAGGACCGCCTTCCAGATCGCCTCAGGCTTCTGCTGCTAAAGTAACGGTCAAGGAATCAGAAATAAGGCAGCCTTGTGAGGAGAAACGAGGGGGCTTCGTGCTAGTGCATGCAGGTGAGACCTTGTGGGTGAGTTGGAATGGAAGCTGAAAGGAATGGTTTCTGTTCTTACTTGGAAGCTGCATTTTGTATCTGACAAAGAGGGTTTGGAACCAAAGAACCTGTTGGATGTTCATAGAGTGAAGTCCTATTCTATACCCCCACCCTCTGTTGGAAGCTCTTATGATGTTATTTCTTCCTGTGTCTTCCTTATTTCCCCTCTCTCTTATTTACCTTTACCTTATATAGCACATATGTTTGGATCAATGGTGTTAAAACTCAATGTGTAGACCAAGCTTGCCTCAAACTCACAGAGATCCACCTGCCTCTGCCTCTCAAGCACTGGGATTAAAGGTGTGCACCACTCTGTCTGGCTTGAAACCAAAATCAGTTTTTAAATTTTGGTTTATGTTTATAGAATAATGCCACATAAAAATTCTTTTGGCCCCATTTTATACAGTGACCATCTTAAAGTATAATTGCATGTATGTATGTATGTATGTATGTATGTATGTATGTATGTGTTACAGTGTGTCTGGGCATGAACACCATGGCATGGACAGTTGTGGAGAGTTCAGAGGATAACTTATAGGAGTCAGTTTTCTCTATTGTATGGGTTATGGAGATTGAACTCAGGTCATTAGTCATGGTGGCAAGCACCGTTTACCCCCAGAGCCATGTAGCCCATAGTTCAGCCTTGTAAGTATGTTGTGATTTCTGTTTGCCCTCTGTAGATTCAGTGATTCTTTATAAAACGAACTGACAATTGAAGGATTAATGGGAGAAAAACAATAGCAAATGTATTAACATGGATATGTGTACTTGATTTTAAGACTCAAAGAAAGGGCCAGATGGGTGAAGCTGCAATAGTTTTTTGAGCTATAACAGAAGCAGCTTGAGGTTGGGGGAGCTGGTGACAGGTTCTGAGAGAACAAAGAGAAGAAATAAATTGTGAACAAATGTCTTATTACAAAGAGATGGTCTCCCAGGTTATAGTAATCAGAAGACTGTGTCATACTGAGACAGTATTTTGACAAGGATAATTTGATAGGATCTTTCTTAGATGGGAAGAAACAAGGTCAGGGGACTTCAGAGGAATCTTGCTTACATTGTGATGTAGATGTCTTGCATAGTAGCAATCTCCTTCCCTCTAGTCTTTTGTCTGCAGTCCTCCTGAATGGCCACCTTACGTTTTGCTAAAGAAATATATTTAGATAATGGTGAACCAGTTTAGTGGGTAAAGGCACTTGCCACCAAGCTTGGCAACCTGAGTTCCATCTTGGAATCCACGTGGTAGAAGAAGAGAGACTACTCCCTCAGTGGTCACTCACGCCCTTCACATGTGTGTGTGCCTCTCTCTATATGTGCTTGCATGTATATGAGTGTAAAATGTAAATGAATGTACAAACACTAAAGATTTATTTTTTTTGAGGTAAATCATTTTACTGGCTCTTATTTTCCTAGTATTATAAGTGAAGAACCTTAGCACTCGACATTAAGTGGCTTAAATGACTAGCTGCACTGCTAAGCTGACATGAGAAGTCCTTAGTTGACCCTAACTTTTGGTACTGTCTCATCCTGTGATCTATATCTACTTAAAAGGACCATGAGGACAGAGAGAGTAAAGCTTAATTTCTATATCCCCCACTTGAGGAGGCATGACTTTGAGGTCAAGTCTACTCAGCAGACTATATTTTGCCATTTTCATTTTCTTGCATTTAGAATGTAAACTCCATGACTCCTGCAGAGAAAGAATGACAAGTCTCCTTTTAGCTTTGCCCAGAGTAGACCAGTTTCCCATGAAACTAGTATCTTGTTTGGTCATTAACCTTTGGCTGCTTTTTAGACTGGACAACTTGGAAGTCCCTTAGAATCTAATCTAAAATAAAATATAGGAAGTTAATTTCTCTGTCTATCTCTTCCAATCCCCTGCCCCATCTATCATACCCTGTCTTTCTCTTGGGATTATGTGTGCCCGGTGAGTGCCTGGTCACAGAGGTGTATCATCAGCCTTTGCCTTTTTGTTTTTTAGTTATAAAAATGATTATTATTGTGTGTGCATATGACATGTGTTGATGCTTGTACTGTGGTGCATGTGTCAAAGGACAACTTTGTGAGCTGGTTTTCTCCTTCCACCTTTACATGGCTGCTGGAGATTGAACTCAGATTGCTAGGTTTCAATAGTTACTTATTTCTTGAGCCATCTAGTTGCACTCCCTTGCCCACATTCTTTTTTTTTTTTTAAAGACACTGTCTCACTCTAGCCCAGGTTGGCCCAGAACTCACTTTGTAGCCTAAGCTGGCCTGGAACTCAGGGCCGTTCACCAATTTAGCTTAGAGTCCTGTTATGTAGCACAGGCTTGCCTCACAGTTGTGAGTTTCCTGCCTTGGCATGTACTACTAAACTGGCTAATTTCTTTTTCTTTTGTCACACGCCCCTCTTTTACAACAAGAGATGAGAGGTTGGAGAAATTGCTCAGTGGTTAAGAACTATTGCTGTTCTTAGAGAACTGAGTTCAGTTCCTAGTAACCACATGAGGCAGTTTAGAACCTCCTGTAACTCCGGCTCCAAAGGATCTGATACCTTTGATACTCTCGGGTACCTCCACACATGTGATGTGGCACACGGAAACACACATACTTGCAGCATGCATGCTCACACTCACAAAGATAAAAAGGATCTTTAAGAAAAGAAAGAACAGGTGAGATGAGGCAAATGTATGGTAATGTCTGTACTTTTACTCAAGTTAAAAGTAGACCTGGACTCTTACCTCCTGCTTCTGAATCTCTGCTTCATTTTCATTGTTACTGCACCATGTCAGCAATGCATCCATAATACCAGTGAGTAATTGTCTTTAAAGGTATTGGTAAAATGTACGAGAAACATCTGAAACTTGGACAGGTAGTAACAGGGTTAGATTACTCGGGAAACATTGCTTGTTTTGACTGTCATGATTCTTTTCTTCCTCTCTCAGACACATACTTGATGGTAGTGGCTCCCAGTTAAAGACTGCTAGAGACCAGAATGAGTAGGGATCAGTCTGCGCTGTGACAGGAAATGGTGTGGTCACAGACCACCTCTGCTTCTCCCTTCCGAGTACTGGCCAGGACTGACTCTGCTTAGCTTCTGAGATCAGCTGGGATTGGGTCAGTTCAGGGTGGCATGGCCATAGACACACTTTCTATTTATTCCTTCCCTTCCCTTCCCTTCCCTTCCCTTCCCTTCCCTTCCCTTCCCTTCCCTTCCCTTCCCTTCCCTTCCCTTCCCTTCCCTTCCCTTCCCTTCCCTTCCCTTCCCTTCCCTTCCCTTCCCTTCCCTTCTTTTTTCTTTATAGATCATGGTTTAGGAGAACTGTGAAGATAGGTTTGACAAAGACTGATAGAGGCTCTTTGAACTTTTAGCTTTCTCGCATGAAAGAGAATTACTTTTCGAGCCTTAGGGACCCCAGTTGCTTAGCATTTCATTGTCTCTGGTCCCTGTAACACTGTTTGTGGATCAGGTTTTTCTCAGTCTTGAGAAAAGTTGTTAGGTTCCCACTACACCCACAAGAGAGTTGGGATGCTTAGACATGTAACTTTAACCTTCCTTAGCTTTGACCTCTATGGAATCTAGTGGAGGAGGAGGTCATACTAAAGAACTTTAATAAGAACCTTAGTCATCAAGAGTTTAACATTCTTGTCTCTCCTCCTCCTCTTGTTCCCCTTTCTCCTTCTACTCCCATCCCTAGCTCAACCCCCTTAATTAAAAACAAGGGGCTGGAGAGATGGCTCAGTGTTTAAGAGCACTGCCTGCTCTTCCAGAGGACTGGAGTTCAATTCCCAGCACTTACATAATGGTTAACAACTGCCTGTAACTCCAGTTCAAGGGGATCCAGTGCTGTCTTCTGGCCTCTGTGGACACTGCATGCAAGTGGCGCATAGACATTCATTCAGGCAAAACACCCATACATGTAAAATAAAAATATGTAGCTCTTAGAAAAAAACATCAGAAAGCACTTGCTCTTGAAGAGGACTTGAGTTCACATTCCAGCACTGATGTTGGGCTGCTCACAGTCACATGTAGCTCTAGCTCTAAAGGATGGAACACTTTCTTCTGGTTTCCTTGGAAACTGAATGAATATGTACATATTATACAGACAGATATCAAAAGTAATAAAAACAAATGTTTAAAATTTTCATATGTGTTGTGTCTGTGTGTGTGACACATGTGTGCAACTGGGGAGACCAGAAGAGGATATTGGATTCCTTGGAGCTGGAGTTAGGTGCTTGGTCCTGGGAACTGAGCTGGCTTTCTTTGGAAGAGCAGCAAGTGCTCTTAACCACTGAGCCTCTCTCTAGTCCTAAGAATAAATTTCCTTAAGGAAGCTAGTTTATTTGGAGCCAAACTTTTAAGTAACTTTCTGGGTATTTGTGTAAATGACAGACCATCAGTATTTTGGGGGAATTCTTGAGAATTTTAGATTCAAATAGTAATTTCCTAAATAGTGGGGCTTTTAAAAATCACTAGAGAGGGATTTCAAGGTTCTTTGATCCTGGCACCACCTGCATTATCAATCATACCAAAGGAACTCTTGAGATTAGTATTTTTTAAATTAAAAATTATAATTATCACTACCTACCTACTTACTTACATACCTACCTGAGTCTCTGTGCCACAGGACATTTATGGAGATCATTACACTTATGTAGATCAGAGAATAACTTGTTAGAGTTGACTCTTTCTGAAATAGAGCTTATGTTATCTGGCTTCCTGTAGGTATCTGTCCAACCATGGTAGAGGTTCTTGACGGGGATGGGGAGTGGTCATGTGAGGGATCTTTGGGGGCATGAGCTATTTTAGGAGCTCTGGCAGGACACTTTTTTGAATGAGAAAAGCATGATATCTGCTGTTAAGAGTCTAGAATCCCATACAGTTAAGGCACTGGGACTGCATGTGTGAGCTACTTTTCTAGTTGGAGGGTCAATGGTATTTTGGCAATAACTAACATGTGGATTTTTCCTCCCCCCACTGTAGGTGCAGGTTATCATTCTGAATCCAAAGCCAAGGAATATAAACATGTATGCAAACGAGCTTGTCAGAAGGTATGAGCAGTGCGTGTGTAATGCTTGTGATATTCCATATGAAATTTTACTTTGGGATTCAATGTTTTAAATTTCATTTCCAGTGGAGTTTGGCCTGATCCCAAAGTTATTTAGTCATATTTGTAGGATCTTAATTCTAAGTTTTTAGTTAAATCTGTGTTTTTAATTCTTTGAATGATGTTTAGCTTTCTCCTCTCCTTCCCCATATTGAAGTCTATTGCTTTTATAGTAATGACACATACAGCCATATCTTTTAAACATTCCCATAATGATTGAACTCTATGGAAAGGTAGGAAAAACTGTTCCTGCTAAGTAGTTCAATATCTTTTCTTTCTTTTTAAATTTTTTTCAAGAATATATCTATATATTCTCATATATATGTATATATATTTCCCCGTCTCTCTCTCTCTCTCTCTCTCTCTCTATATATATATATATATGTATATGTATATATATATATATGTAAATGTTTTCTTGAGACATTTCTTTGTAGCTCTCACCTGCCTTTGCCTTCTTGTGAATAAATGCTTAATGGTTTTTCTTAATGTGAAGTCATAAAAGAAAAAGAAACAAAGGAAAAAGAAAGAGGAAGGAAGGAAGAAAGAAAGAAAGGAAGAAAGAAAGAAAGAAAGAAAGAAAGAAAGAAAGAAAGAAAGAAAGAAAAAAGAAAAAGCCGGTCGCTGGTGGCACACATCTTTGATCTCAGCACTAGGGAGGCAGAGGCAGGTGGATCTTTGTGAGTTCTAGGCCAACCTGGTCTACAGAGCGAGTTCCAGGACAGTCTCCAAAAACAACAGAGAAACCCTGTCTTGAAAAATGACAGACAGACAGACAGAAGAGTGCACGTGCTTTTCTCAGATGCCTGTGGGCCCCGTCCTGCACTTCAGCATGGGCAGAGCGGATGCCTGTCTGCCTAGTGCGGTGAGCTCAGCCCTTCAGTTCACTTGTGCTTTGTGCGCCTTTGACTCTGGAGGTTTGCTAAATTGTTGAATACCTAGTTTGTGGGCAGGAATGATCTCAGAAAAAATATTATTTGTTTTTATTTTGATCTGGACTATATCGTCTTGTGGGCAAGTTTCCCATTACTTTTTATGCAATTAGAAACTGCCTGTCAGGATATTTTTTCTTTTATTCATATTTTAATATCATTTATAAGAAAAATACTGTATCAGAGTTATGAACTTTTTCTTATTAATGGATTTTACCATAAATTGAGAGTATTTTGTTACAGGGAGTTCATACATATATAAACATAAATATATACATAAAAAGATAAATATATATGACCTTAAATAGTTACTTATATTTTTTAAGTGTCAAATCTTTTCATTATCTGAATAGCTATGTTTAGTATTCTGTAGCTTTAGTCCTATAAATCTAATTCATTTTGACCTATCATTCTCCTCAATTTTTGCAATGAATTACCTTCTTTTTTATATTTATTAAATTTATTGCCTTATGTGTTTGAGTGTTTGCCTGCATTTATGTATGTATGCCACATGCATATTTGGCACCCTGGGAGTCAGAAGAGACAGGAGTTATAGACAGTTGTGAACTGTCATCTGAGTTCTGGGAACTGAGTGTCTTGGATCCTCTGCAAGAGCAACAAGTGGTCTTCTTAACCACTGAGACTCCCTGGCTCCTTGAATTACCTCTATATAGCCCTGGCTGTCCTGGAACTCACTCTGTCACTGTGTAGACTAGGCTGCCTCCTCTGCCTGCATGTGCTGGAATTAAAGGCCTGTGCCACCACGGGTGGTGTGAATTTCCTTCTTAAGAGTTTAATTATGAGTGTGGGCTGAAGTGATGGGTCAGTGGGGAAGAGCACTTGCTGTTCTTGTAGAGAGCCCAGGTTCAGTTGCCAGCTCCCACATGGCAGCTCATAGCTGCCTGTTAACCTAAGTTCTGGGGGAAACTGACATCCTCTTCTGACTTCTGAGGGTACCATGCACATATGTGGTACACATCTAGACATGCAAGCAAATCATTCATACATACAACAAAATATTAAAAAATTTAGTTAGAAGTAGATTGTTAATTTTTGGGCTTTGTCTTTGCTAATTGAATTAGTTTTTTTATGAGTTATTAATTTATTTATTATGTATACAGTGTTCTGTTTGCATGTATCCTTGCCGGCCAGAAGAGGGCACTAGATCTTATTACAGATGGTTGTTAGCTACCATATGGTTGCTGGGAATTGAACTCAGGACCTCAGGAAGAACAGACATTTCTCCAGTCTCTGAATTAGAGTTTTAATAGCTTTTTAAAAAGCCATCTAAAAAATTTATTTTTATTTTAGGCATATTGGTATTTTGTGTATGTATATGTCTGTGTGAGGGTGTCGGACCCCCTAGAACAGGAGTTATATACATCTGTGAGCTTTCATGTGGGTGCTGGGTTTTGAACCCAGGTCCTCTGGAAGAACAACCAGTGCTCTTAACTGCTGAGCCATCTCTCCATCCCCTAGAAGCCAATTTTTTAATAACATAATTCTTTATTTGGCAATTTCACATCATGTACCCCAATCACACTCACCTCCCTGTCTGTCTATATCCTCCCCATCACCCCTTCAACATCCCTCCTCTAAAAGAATCTCCCCCCAAAGTCAATTAAACAAACAAACAAAAAACCCACAAAATACCCCACCTCCTGTCGTTCAACACCTCTTCATTCATCTTGTTGGCATTGGGTACTGCGGTGTGTCATGTCCAATCAACCACACCACAAAAATTGTCTATTGCAATGGATCATTGGTCTGGTCTAAGACTTGTGGCACACTATCATCATTGGATCTTCACTGAAATTCCTCTTGGATATCCTACTGTTTCCTTGAGTCTTTGGGATTCTGAGGTCATTGTACTGAAAGACCAATCCCATCCTCAACTCCAGCAGGTCATAGATAAGGTAGATGTTTGGGTAGGCCAAACCAAGGCTTAGGATATGGGTCTGGGTGGTAGCTGAGTTGGTTAGTCTGGGTCACTGGGACTGTCCCCCTCAGGAGGGACAGAGTCAGCCCTTTTAGGCCCATGCCATCAGTCAGGATCAAGTCTCCCATGTCTGTGGTGAGGGGTGGGGCCATTTCTCCCAAATGCTGGGAACCAGCTTTCCCATGGTGGGTGGTGGGTCCAGGTCTCCCACTGCAGTGACTGTAGTGTGAGGGGCAGGGCCAACTATTCCAGGGCCAGTGAGGGGCAGGGCTGAGCCAGCTCTCATACTTCAACATTAATGGTTCATGATTACTATGACCTCACTCCACACCCCCCCGCAACATGGGCCATGAACATCATCAGAGACCCCCTCTGCAGCAGGACTATGGACTCAGACATTGTCCTCAGCAGCATGGCCTGGACGTTGCCATGGCCCTGGTGGCAGTGCAGGTCACCCAGACCAGTATGGCCTGGAGACAGCAAGGCCCTGAAATACCAATGTGGTCTCTCATTGCACATCCCTCAGTGGTAATAGAAGCCATGGACATCAACTCAAACCCTGGTGACTGCTGGACTCTGGACTCAGATATGGCTCTATGCAGCAGCCTGGGCCTGGACAACAGCATGGCCTTATGTGGTAGTGCATGACTCCCAGATCAGCATGGCCCTAGTGGCGGTGTGACCCTTAGATACCAACATGGTCACAGGTTATATATCTGTATGGTATGTGGTGTTACCATGGTCTACAGACCTCAACATAGACCCTGGCTATTGCAGGACCATGGACCCAGACATGATCCCCAGTACCATTCCTGGCCTAGATGTTACCATGGCTCCAGGTATCAGCACAGGCAACTCAGATTTTAAAGCCAATTTATATTTTCTCCTCCTCCCCCAGAATTAGATGATTTTACTCTGCAGAATGTATTACAAAAGAGTATTTTGACAGAAGACATTATAGTATCAAAGATATTTTTGAAAATGAATATTTCCACCTGTGGATTCTTCTTTTTTAATTAATATACAACTTTCCACCCCTACTTTTAAATCCCAAACTGAACTTGAATTTGTAAAACCATGCACTCTTCCTGCCTCAACTACGTAGCTGAGATTAAAATATGAGCCACCATAATTGGCTTATGTGAAGATTTTGTGATTTAGAAACAATAGTTGTTTTTGATATGCATGAACAGGGAGAGTAGAAATAGTGGTAGAGGTAGCTAGGTCTGAGATGTGGTTCTTTATGGGAATATAAATTATCAGATTATCTTTACTGAACTAACTCATGTCATTTTTGTGGCTGTTTTAAATTGTTCTGTGAACAATGAAGCTCTTTCACTTACTAAACTCCTTGTACCTTGCATTTATTGGCTAATTTTTAGTCATTGTTTTAATTTGGATAATATTAAGAATGATAATCAGTCTGAGTAATAAACACTGCTTTTCTTAAATCTGAGAAAGGTATGTCTAAAAGCAGCCTTGTCCAACTTGCAGCGCATAGGTCACATGCATCCAGGAATGACACCCAATATCACCACAACTTCATGTCACAATGTCAGCTGGTCAGACACCTTGCCTTCAAGTGTGAAATGGAAATGCTGACCAATTTTTATTAACTTTGAGTGTATCATCCTTTTTAAATCTTTGCAAAGCTTCTGATACGTTTGAGCAGCTAGTTTCGAGTGAGTAATTTCTTCTCTTGTTTTCACAGGCAATTGAGAAGCTACAGGCTGGTGCTCTTGCTACAGATGCAGTGACTGCTGCTCTGGTGGAACTTGAGGTATTTCTTTTCTCTTTTTATGTCTTATTTAAAATATTTGAATTTATATTCCTTATTTTTAAATGGCATGAAGATGCTGAATCAGTCAGCTACAAGTCATGTAACCAATGTTTCTCGACCAATATCACCAAAGCTATATAAAGATTTTGAGATTAAAAAAACAAACAAACAATTTTTTAATGTGTTTTCCTTGGTGGCTTTTCCTGAGTAATAAAATGGTTGGTTAATTCCTTCTTTCTCTTGTTTTTTTTTGTTTTTTGTTTTTTGTAGGTTTCATGGTTATAAAAGTCATTGGTGATAGATATTTTCAGTAGGGTAGTTTTTGAAGTTCACATCCCCAAAGTGAGATATGTCTTTAACAAATACATATTTTCAGCTCTCTGGAAGTGTCTAAAGTGGAAAGACAAGTTTTATCACAGACGTAACAGACCTAGGTCCTGAAGCTGTGTGTTGTGTATTTTATGATAGCACCCTTATTCCAGTGAGATTTTCAGGACAGTACCAGGTTTACAGTGGACACTGAGTTTAGAAGGAAGCTCTTGGTATTCCATCGTGAGGGACTCCTAGTTTCTCTGACTTTGAATGTGTTTGAGGCCTTTGGGAAGACTTAAATGTGGAGAGGGTAGATTTGTTAGTGAGTTGACCAGGTTACTAGAGATGACGATTTTACTGGATGTGAAGACTTCTTGGAGTGGAGAGTTAAGACATGGGTATGAGTAACAATGAGTGTGAAGGAGGAGATAAGCTGATAGTTGTAGATTTTGGTTAGTCTTTGATATCAGGGTATCAGTCAAATACCTTTCCCTGGGAAAGTAGCTCTGGAGTTGACTGAAAGTCTCCCTCTCTTTTAACTGTAGAGCTGCACTTTGAAATAGATATAGATTAGGGACAGAAGTTACAATTTGGAAACTTAAAGGAAAATACATTTCGAACTTTTAGGCCCACAGTCCTAGTAATTGGGGAAGGAGAGGAGTCCCAAGACCAGAAGAGGGAGATGGAGGAGAGGGGGACCATCTTCAGGAATAGACAGGTAGGGAAACTTAGGCTGTACTTATCTGGAGTCCTTTGACCTGTGAAGTAGATCCAAGTCTTATGACTTCCATGATTCTGTGAAGTTAACATGATTTTCTCTTTTGTTATTTTTTTATTTTTGAGACATGGTTTTTCTATGTAGCTTTGGAGCCTGTCCTGGAACTTGCTCTGTAGACTAAGCTGGCCTTGAACTCACAGAGATCTGCCAGCCTCTGCCTCTTGAGTGCTGGGATTAAGGGCATGTGCCACCACTGCCTGGCTTAACATGAATTTTTTAGTTTACAAAAATACATAAAAGTTTTAGATATATTAGCATTACCAATCTGTACTGAAAACCACATTGTAGAATAAGCAGGTAATAGGTATCTGTAAATAGCTGGAGTAGACTCACATCTTTAAGTTCTAGAAGACTTGGGATTTGGGTTAAAAAGCATGAACATTTTTTCCTCTGTCTAGAGAGCTAAATGTAGATTGGACAGAGAGATGTCTTTAGCCTGATGAGAAGCCCTTTAAGTCTATACTTAGAAGGCAACCAAAGGAAATTTAAAATCTTGAACGTGTGACTAAACAATAAGTAGTCACTGCTCTACCAGTTTATTAGAACGCCAATAATCAATGTTAAAACTCTGAACTTTTGAAGGGGAAAGAAATCTGAAACATTTCCCATTTCTGCATACCATAAATCATTTATTTATACCTTTACAACATGCATTTGCATCTCAAATCACTTTCTGAGATCCTCACAACTTACATAGACTCTCAAATCCTCAGACCTTTATATATCTTAAAACAGTTTCTTAGACCCTTAAAACTTGCATAGATTTTAACTTTTTCTTTCCATCTGATCATTTACCAGAGACACAAGCAGTTATTACTGACAATAGTCATTTCACATTATGTTCCTTTAGTGTAACGCTACATCTACAACCTGTTTCTCTTTTAATATGAAGCCTGTTAACCTGTCTACCTTTTCTCAAAAGGATACTTGATAGCTTTAGAAACAGAAAAGCTTGATTTTTATATCTGAAATGCGCTAACAAGGTGGCTGCAGCCTTGGGGAAGAACTTGGTTGCCTGCTGCTGCTAAGCTGACAAAGCTATGGTTAGCCTAGCTGTCAGTACCATCAGAGATCTGAGAAGGATACATTATAGCATGAAGATAATTCAAATGCCGTGTGTATCAGTTAAGATGGTAGACAGGGTCTTTCTATGTTATTCTGGCTGTCCTGAACTCACTGTGTAGACCAGGTTGGCCTCAGACTCACAGAGATCCTTCTGTGTCATCCTAAACTCAAGTTTTTAAAAAAGTTATTTTTTTTTAAAGATAAAGTCTTGTTATTGTAGTTCAAGCTAGCTGGAATTTGTATTCTTTGCTTCCACAGTTTTAGTGCTGGGATTATACTTTCTTTTTTAAAATTTATTTTTATGGATTTTTGAGACAGGGTCTCACTGTCTAGCCCTGGCTGGCCTGGAACTTGCTGTGTATATCAGACTGGCCCTGAACTAGCAGAGTTTGCCTCTCTCTGGGTTTACCTTTCCCTTCTCAGTGATGGGATTAAAGACTTGTATTGCCTCACCCAGGTAGGGATATACATTTTTGATTAAATAAATGATCTAATAAGCTTGCCTGTTGTTTTTCTTTGCCCGTTAGTTACAGAATTGATATGAATTCCTTGAGCATGCTCCTAAACACAGACTGAAGTAACTGTTATGAAATGGTGTAATGGTTCTTATTGGCTAGAAAGGATGTCTAGCCTTGTGCTTAAGAAAGTGTGATTGTTTGTGTTTTCCCAAATAGTAAACATTTTAATATAGTATCAACTTTACATAGTAGAGTAGGAAGAGACAAGGTGACATGGGACTTTACACACACACCTACCTCACCTTGGCATACACTCTTACACTATTGTTTTTCTTTTCTTACAAACCTCTTTTTTTTTTTTTTTTGAGGTAGGGTTCTAATGTAACAGGGTCAGGGTTCAGAATTGCTACTTAACTACAGCTCTTTTTGAACTCTTGATCCGCTGGATTCTATTTCCCCATTACTGGGATTACAAGCATGTTTGTGCTTGGGTCTTCTTTTGAACTCCCCTGAAATGTGTTTGGTTAGCATACAAAGAGGCAAGTTTTATTGTGATATTTCTATAATTACTTATACTGTGGCCAGGTCTGGACCTGGTGTTTGTAGGTCTTGGACTGTTACATACAGAATTGAAAACTAGAGCTCATAAAGACTTGCAAAAGAAGCAAGATAATTTAATTTGATTAAAGAGAGGTACAAGATTGACAGGGGCCACATGAGTAACTAAACTCAAGGGCTCTAAGCTTCAGCATTGGTTCTGTCAAAGGGGAGCTGTTGGTTACTAAGCTGCATAGTTTGGATGGTTCTCTGTTTTGATTGATAGCTTAGGTTATATAATCATTTTTTTATTGTGTGTGTTACCTTGCACAATGCATTTGATTTTAGTCCTGTGCCTATCCATAGAAATAAGATGGCAAAATAGGTTTAATGAGGAAAGAGTTTGGCCTTAATTCTCATGCACCCAAAATCAGTTCAGTCTGCACTGGTCCTTCTATTTTTCTTTTCTTTTTTTTTAATTATGAATCTGTTGGGTGTTTGCTTGGTTTCTTACTGACTAGCTCTGACTTAAGCATTTAACCCATAATTGTTAATCTGAGTATTTCTCTTACCAGAGAAAAGGGTTCGAACTTCTTACTCCTCTGGCGGCCTACATGGTGTCTGACTCTGCCTCTCTTTCCCAGAATCCTCCTTGACTCCTAGTCCCACCTATCTTGCTTCCCTATTAGCCAACAGTGCTTTATTCGACAGTAAGAGAGACAGATTTACAGAATGACATCTCCCATCATCTCCTCTTTTCTGTCTAAATAAAAAGAAAGGTTTTAACTGTAACATAGTCAAATTATATATAATATCAACAGTTATCAAGTAAGAACTATAGTTACAATATTTTGTTCATTAACATTTAGTAAGATTTAAAGAAAGTATTTTATCATCTATCCTATCTGTGTAAGTCTAAAGTCTTATATGTAGCTTATCTTTTATCATAACTAAGGAAAACTATGATTATAACTATCTGTCTTCAACTCCACCAAAGACCACAGAAGGATAATATATAAACACTAGAATTGACAGAGACATCTTGCTACCTGGACAGTCACCTGAAGTTCCGCTGTAATGTTTGGGCATCCAACTTCAGCCCATAGGCCACAATGTGTCTGGAAGTCTTCTCAGCAAAGCAGGAAATTTCAAACTGTCCATCTTCATTGGCAGTCTGTCAATCATTTTTTTCTGTGTCCTGCAGAAAGTCTGCCAGACTCTTCCATGAAGGTAGGAATCCTTTAAGATGGTCCAAATTCACTAGTGACTTTTCTGTGGGTCCTCCATGTCCAGATTATACAGCAACAGTCATACAGTCTAGGCAAGAGCACTTTCTTGCCCAAATGGCTAATCTTGTCATGTTGAAAGCAAACTCCATAATGAGTCTCTTCGATGCCCATCTTCTTCTCAGACATAATTGGTGTGCCAGGAGCAAACATTTCTCACTGTCAAGAAAAACCCTAAACCATTTTAAATGCCATTTTCTGAAGGTCTTTGAAAGGTTTGAAGACTATCTATCTCAAATATATCTCTGTATGTAGAAAACCTAACTAACCTAACTATAAATTCTACTATAAGTAACTTTCTATAATCTGTATTTAATTATGCATTACGTTTTAAAAGATCAGTATAAACACAATACTTAAACAAGAGGAGAAATATACATATCACAAAATTGACCTTGAATTTGTATCAATAAATGAAAAACCATACCAATACAAAGCATTCATTTCCATACCATAATCCCCTATTACCTTTAAAAAGAGATTGGTTGTGAGCCGGGTGTTGGTGGCACATGCCTTTAATCCCAGCACTCGGGAGTCAGAGGCAGGTGGATCTCTGTGAGTTTG